TGCTATTTTTGCTGCCAAGCAGTCTTTCAAGAAATTGTCTCCCAGTCTGATATCTTTACATTGAATAATTCCATCCACAGAAATGCTTGCTAGTGGTTAAATTATGGCCAAGAATCTACATTCAGCCTGAATTTGCTCATGTCGATGCATTGTACCACTACTGGAGAATAAGTGTGGTGTCACTCAAAATGGTATTATACTGGAACATGACCAGGAACAGGATTAGAGCAATATCCTGTGACTGGGAGCAAGGAGTTGAACTGGTTCTACATTTGCTGGAGGCAGCAGAACACCTTGGTAAGAGGCAGTCACTGTGCTGCCTCCACCCCAGCTTCTGGGGGAAGAGATGGCCATCACCACATCAAAAAGAAGAGTGCCTCCCTGCAATCATTTCCCTCCTGGCTGGCAGCAGGTAGCATTGGGAAATGACAGCTTTGGTATTCCCTGGCTCTGCTAACCTCTGTTATCACCCAGGCCCTGGAGAGTTCATCGTTCAGAGAAGAGGGCTGAGGAAAGCTCTGCTCAACCTCAATTAAGGCTCTCTTTGGTTCCCAGACAAAACAGAATAGGCAAATTAACATCCTGCGCTAGGAAGTTTTTTTGTCCTCATCACTGTGGTGGCAAAATCCAGTTTTATCAGCACTGCTGAGAAAGCTTGCAGTAGCTTGAGTATTAGAGAACATGATGGCTTCCACACAGGACAGCCTTCCAGCTTTCTGTCCTCTCTTCCTAAGGATATACTGAGAAAGTATTAAAAAAAAAAAAAAAAAAGCATCATCATCAGACAAAGTGGTCATTCTGTACTTTTCCAGCCCTCAGCAGTCAGTAACCTTTCTGTTTGCACCAATATAAGCCCCAAGCAGTCAGTGGGAGACATGATTTGCACAAGCAAATTCACTCATTTCCTAGGAGAGGGCAAAATTCAGGGTGTGACCACAACTCCTTTCTCCTGGCCACAGCTTAGCTGAAGGCCCAGTATGTCAGATTCACCCCAGTGTGATTCCAGGGACTGGTCTGGAATCAATTTGACCCAGTAAGTCTCTTTGATTGCATCAGGCCTTTCAGAAGTTTTGAACAACAAAGATCTAAGCAGCAGGCAGCAATCTGCACAAAAACAATCTTTGCAGTTTAAGGATTTTTAAAGGTCTGTGCCTTTTTTTTTTTTTTTTGTCTCTTTCATTTCAAATGCTTTTCAACTGAGCGAATGCTGCAGCGGGTTCATGGGAGAAGGCCTTGAGGCACCCCTGACTTTGGCACCATTATCCCATAGACACTCCATACATTTTTTGGCACCTTGCAACAGACACATTGACAGCCACAGGATTGATGGAAAGGGAAGGAAGCTGTTTTGCAGTCAAAAGAGAATGTACTCAGATTTCTAAGGCCATTTGAAAGAATGCCAGAATGATACTGGATTTCGGCATTCTTAAGCTCCTTTAAGATGATGCAGCAAGTGGTCTTTTCCACATGTGATGATGTATTTCAGGACAAGAGTTTCTTCAAGATTTTCCAAGCCTGTGGGCTCCTGATCCTTTTTCAAATTATAGAGATGATAGCATACCAGGGAGAATTGTGATTAGTTTAAACTCTCCACAGCTGCAAGCGATGAATGTAAAAATTCCACCCAAAAATCCATTTCTTCTGGATTGAATTTACCTACACGACAACGAGTCCTGACCAAGGGACCACTTAAAAGAGCTGGAGCAGCATCAACACTATTTAGTTTCTTCCATCACATCAACCCAGGGAAGGCTCACAACTGTTCTACCCAACACATCTCCCCCAGCAGCACTGCCATGATACAGGCTGGGGTATTAACGGAGCCCCATGATGTGTGTGGAGGAAAATGGAACGATGAAATAAAAGCTTAAGTACAAGGGAATTCAATCAGGGCTTGCAACTTATTACTTGGAATACCAGGAGAATTGTAAAACACCTTATAACCGAGAGGCTTTGCTTGGAGCTGTTAAGGACCACAGCCCCCACTTCATCACAGGCTGACAAATTTTAAATGCTCTTGGCAACAGGGGGGGCGAGCACTGAGCTTTCTCTCTCAGCTGACCTGAGGAAATGGCAATGCTTTGTTTTGCTTAACAGGACCTCTCTCTCTCTCTGAATTGCTTCCTTGGGTTTCTAATCAAATATAATAATATACAGCATTCACCTCTATCGTTTCTCTCAAAGCATCAGCATTGACAATGCTAACAGCGTGTCCACCTTGAGACATCTGACCTTCCATTTGTCTCTGAAGACAGAGAAGGCCCGAGCACACATTGGGAGACCAGTGACTGACACCTCCTACGTTTGTCTGGATTTATTAACACAGTGATAGGTGAGACCTTGTTTTATGAGACTTTCCTCAAAAATGCTAAATAAAACGCCCCCCCCCCCCCAAAAAAAAAAAATCCCACTTATTTAAGTTGTCTCTTTGTCAAGTGAGGCCTGCAGTACTACGGCACGAAGCCCCAGAAACCCCACAGCCAGGCGGGAGGCGGTGCGGGGCCACAGACACTTCTCTCAGCACCCTGGCTGAAACCAGCCGGAACCGGCCAGAACCGGCCACCCCCCAGCCCAGTACTGCCAGCATCTCACTGTCCATGCCAGCGCCTGCCCCAACTTCCCCAAATGCTGTCGGGGATGTCTGCTTGGGAGCATACCTGTTTTAAGGGGGCTAGGGCCATTCTCTCCACAAGTGTTTCTAATCTACGCAAAAAACCAGGCTTCTCCCGCAGGATTTAGCGCAGTGTAACCCTTTCTTTTTACTCTAGGCAGACCAATATACAGCATACTGAACTATATAACAAGAACATGAAGCATAGACTCTATTTTATGTCTTTCACTCCGCCCCATGAGGAGACATGCCCTAAATACCAAACCATAACCCTCACAGGTGTATCAGGTGACGTTTCCCCGTAGCGGGCCAGGCGGCTGCCTGACCTTGCCGCAGCGGCCCGTTCGGGGGCGGCAGGCCGAGGCGGAGCGGCGCCCGGCGGCGGCAGCCTGGGCGGTTGGACCTAGTGCGGCGGGAAAAGATGCTGCAGCGTGCGTAGTCGTGGCCGAGTGGTTAAGGCGATGGACTAGAAATCCATTGGGGTCTCCCCGCGCAGGTTCGAATCCTGCCGACTACGGCCCGAGTCGGCGGACTCTAAGCTTTTTTTTTTTTTTCCCCCCTTGCTTTCTTTTCGCTCATTCCAGACTCCCGGGGCGGCAGGAGGGCCGGGCCGGGCCCCAGCCGCGGTCGAGCTCCCCTGGCGCCCCCCCCGCCCCGCACCGGGCGCGGAAACTCCGCCCCTGCCGGCGCCGGGCCGCCTTGGCAACCGCTGGCGGCGGCAAGATGGCGGACGACTTGGACCGGTTACTGGATGAAGTGGAGAGGCGGCTCTGCCGCCTGCCGGGGCGGGAGGCGGCGGGCGGCCACCGGCGCGGCGACGGCGAGGAG